AAAGAAATAGCAGAGTGTCCTAGAATCTTCTTTGTCCAGTGATGGCTGGGGCCCATACCCAGTTATATACACAGAGATACAGTGACAAGGGACCTCAGCACTAAGCCTGTTCTCAGTCCCAGACTGAATGGAGGCATGGGCCTATTGGCAGCCACTTGGGATTCAGCAGAAACAAAGGACTACAGCATATTGCCTGCCTCCATGGGCTGCCAACGCCTTAGGTCTCAGGGGCTAGGACTTTGGTCGTCTCAGTTTTTGAGAGTGGCACCCTTGTCTCCCTCCATGGTAAAACATCCATCTCTTTTAGTGCAGGGTCTTATATGGGCTTGGCACTGTTGTCACATCGGAATCAAGTTGGTTGTGAGTTCAGGTCCTTGTGCGGGTGGCAGAATGCCTGTGAAGTCATCAGAATCGTTCTAATCCCTTGAGTGTGATGAAGTTGGATCGCTAGCTCCTTTTTCGGGACGGCACCTAGGTATAGCAACTTAGTAACTTGGGCTTGACAGGGAGATGTTTCTTCTCAAAAGTAAAGTGAGTATGGAGACTTGGGATTGTTCCCCTGACTGGTCTCCAAGCTTGGATCACTGTGAAGCTTTCTAATGATCAGGATTATTAGGGTTTGTATTGATAGATCAATTGATTTATATCTTTTTTGTTTACATTTTTGTTTACATACATATGTATACACACACATACACACATATATATGAAACAATTGGCTTATCAAGAATCACAAGGATTTTCTGATATATTGTGAGAATTGTTTTTCACTATGTTATGAGGGAAAGGCACCCTCTCATTATTTTGCATATTTATATCCAATTGTCCCAGTGCTTTTTACTGAGATGAATTTATTTTCTGATTTAATTCTGATAGCATCCTTGTAAAAAAAAAAAAGTCAGTTGTTCTGAAATGCAAGGATTTAATTCTGAAACCTCAGTTTCATTCCAGTGTTCTACACGTTTATTCCTGTGTCAATGCCACATCGTCCTGACTGCAGCCTCGTAGTGAGTTTTCAAATTAGGCTGTGTGATCCACAAACTTTGTTCTTCTATTTCAAGACTGGTTTGGCTATTTTGCATCTCTTTCATTTTTACATAAAATTTTAGTTTCTGCTTGTCAGTTTCTGCAAAGAGGCCATCTGGGTTTTAAGTGGCAGTGTGCCACATCTATAGATACATTTGAGGAGAATCACCATCTTCATATTAAATGTTCCAATCCAGGAAGATGAGCTGCTTTCCACTTATAGGTCTTCCTTAATTACTTTCCATGCTTTAAAAAACTTTTAGTGTGCTGATCTAATCCTCCTTTCTTTAGTGTATTTTACTCTCCTCTTGATACTGTTATAAATGAGAATCTTTTCTTAATTTTATTTTGGAATTGTTATTCGTGTATAGAAATAATTTAAAATTTGCATATTGATTTTGAGTTCAGAAACTTTATTATACTAATTTATTAGCTGTCATAGGTATGTATGTGTGTATGAATGTGTGTTTGTATGTGTGTCTTGGGGTGTTCTCTATATAAAATCACATCATCTTTAAATAGAAATGGAAAAAGAAATTTTTTCTTTCTAATGTATGGCTCTTATTTGGCAACTGTGACAGGTCATTGCAGTTTTTCTTATTGCCCCAGCAATAAGTACATTACAGTCCTGACTAGGAAGGGTGAGTGTAGACATCGAGTCATGTCCGGTCTTAGGGAAATAATCTAGTTTTTGGTCCTTAAGCATGATGTTATGTGCGGTTTTGTGGTGGACACCTTTCACTAGGCTGATAAAGTTCTCTTCCACCCTGGGGGCCTTTACATCCCTCCCTGCTATCTCACTGAATGAGCTGTTGAGGAAGGATGTGTGACAGAGAAACTCCAGCCGCACAATAGTCCCTTCCCTTGGAGGACACTGTGCAGTGTGAGGCTAGCATTTCAGGCTTGCCTTCTCTCTTTCTGTACTTTCTCAGCCAGTTCTGACGGCTGTGGGAAGTGTTCCTAGGCACCGTTGTGTTGGAAGACTCCAGCAGTGGTAGCCAACAGTGAAGCAATGGGCCCATGGGTCTATTCCTGTCCGGCCCGTGCTAGGGCAAAGGTCAGGGAAGAGGTCTTGAGAACAGGAACTTCTGAAGTCCCCAGTGCGCCAGCTGGCCATGGCCAGCTTAGCCCTGAGGTCAGGGCATTCTAACTGTGATTCCAGGAACAAAAGCAGGGGAAATCCCCGTCTAGGCCACGGTCAATGCTCATGTTGCACACTGGTCCCTGGCATGTGGAAAACCAACAGATGGCTACACTGAAGGCAGCAGCGATTGCCACCAGCTCCACCACACACAAATTCACTCAACTCACGCTTCGCTTATCCCTCAGCTCAGACTTCCTTATCCAGTCGGTCCCTGTACCCTCTCATCCTTTAACCCTTTGTCTTATTATAACCTTAGCCCTGGCATTTTAAGTCCAAGGAGAATTAGTGGATATCAGGCTTGAAGTGGTCCTTTATCACCTGCACTTACCAGTTAGCTAAATCACCCTTAAACCAAGTCAGATCCCTACTCTAATCCTACTAGGCCCGCTACCCCACTCCTAATCCTTAAATTAACCTACGTCCTAATTCTGACCTGGGATCTCCCCTAAAACAGGCCTCTTTTCTGTAGCAGCTCCAACATGTGGCAGCACTGGGTACTTTTCCCTTCCAGATCTCCTGAGAGTCTTCTTTTCCCATAAACACTCCTTCTTTCCACTAATTTCCATTACAAAATACAGTTATCCAGGCCAAGGGACGCCTCTGGCTGGCTGAAGCTACTACAGAACCTCTCCCTAGCTCTCTTCTGAGGCTCAGACTGAATTAATGATAAACTCCAAAGTAAACAGCTCATTTCAGAATTGTAATGTTGGAGAAGACTTGTGTGTGTGCCTGAGTATATGTGTGTGCGTGGTGTGCGTGTGTGTGTGTGTGTGTGTGTGTGTGTGTGTGTGTGTGTGTGTGTGTATTGTGGAGATGTCATGGTGAGAGAAGAAGCTCCATATCTCCTGAAATCTCTAAGCATGTAGCTAATGGCAAGCCCCAGAGTGGCTGTTGGGTAACAGCCCGTTATTTCAGCTATTTCTCCACGTTCTTCATCTCTGGTCCACCTACCCTGGTTTACTTTGAGCTCCCTGGAATGGAGAAAGTTGGTTATGTCACATCAGTGGATGCTGCTCTCAGGACCCACAGGCTCCTTTGTGAGCTCTGAAAAGGGCCCCGTCACGATTTCTTTTTCTGCGCTCCAGTGGAGGAGGAAGGGGAGTTCTGTACCTGGGAACTTCCTGTCTGTGGCCCCTTTGCCTACCGTTTTCATTTCTCGACATGCGGAGCACAGCTGCTTGTTCCTGGGAGACAGGTTTTCATGCTTGTTCTTTCTGGCCTACGGGGAAGGAGACAGAGATGGGTGAGGAGAGGGTAAGATAGATACCAAGGGCAGGAAAGAGGTTAAAAACAGGGAGAAAGGGAAACTTCCTTCCATAAAAAGGAAATGGTTATTCATATTTCAGCACTTTGGAGTGGCTGCTGAATCTGGGATTTGCTGCAGTTTATAGATTCATGCAGGGCTTAAGCAAGAGGGAGTGACCACAGACAAGGTGGTGGCCTTGGGGCTGCTATATGCAGTGACCGAAATGTAAGAACAGCCAGCACAGGAGACTAGGGAAAAATACAGTAGGATCTCTGCCTTTTAGCCTGGGCACACGTGGCAGAGAGCTGTATTTCCCTACAGGCAGCACATTCCCCCCATTTTTGAAACAAGTCCCATCAAATGGCCTGAGAATTTCTGAGTCAATGAAGACTTTCCTGTAAGTCTTTCAGCAGGCCCTTCTGTGCATCATGCATTAAGTCACAGCTGAACTAGAGCTCATATACATCGTGAGCCCCCTCCTTTGGGGAAGAAAGGCTGTGCCAACCAGGGCAAAGGAACAGCCAGGAAAAGGAGGGTGGGGTACCCTTCTATTCACTGTAAAGACCACTGTCTTTCTGACTTCATCTCCACTAAATGGGAGAAAGCCTCAGGGTATTTGTACCCAGAGCAGGGGGCTCTAACACACATCTCTGGCAGAGGTTTCCTTAGGAGGCAGGTGAGAACTCGAATCTAAAATTACATTTCGAGATTCTATCTCGTACCTTTTGATGCACACTGACATCAGAGTAATGTGATACACCCACAGAAAGTATAGGACATAGGCAGGAAGGATGCCACAGGGATAAGCAGACAATGACTGTCAACTTAAGCTTTCTCCTTCCAGTTGACCCATGTATGCCCTGACTCATTGCTGTTGTCCTGGGAGGTGTGGGAGACAGGAGAGGATGAACACGTCTACCCAGCACGATGAGTGTGCACCGAAGGTGAGACCTTTGCCACATTGATCTGCAAGTAGTTTCATTCTGAAAGATACATGGCGTTTGGAGTTTGAAGACTGAATCCCTACTGACAAATATTTAAAAGTATGCTTCGTTTTTATAGGACATGAGAAAGAATCAACGCAGTATTCATGTTATGGGTTGGCATGTGAAAGCATGAGTGTAAATGGGTAGGTTCAATAATTTAAGACCCAGTATTTATTGTGAGGCCACCATATATGGGGTGGTGCCCTACGGGAACATGAATAAGCCAAAGCTCTCAGGAAGATATGAAGATGATACAAATTCACTATTCGTTAGGTACACTCAGGTAGACAAGGCACAGCTCCTCATGTCAAGCTGCTCACCATCCAGCAATCTGAATCTCACGAGCATGACTGTTGCATTAGCTACCTTTCTCTGGGCTGGGACAAAACACCCAACAGAGTGAAGACGGAAAAGCATTACTCCAGTTTACAATGTCAGGGATTTCAGTCCATCGTGGTGGGGGAGGCAGAACAGAGCCATTTGTTCCATGGCAGTAAGGGAAGATGGCAGCGGGCATGTTCACATGGCAGTGGACCAGCAAGTAGACGGCTCATGCAGAACCAAGGGTAGGCGTAACCCTCCAAGTCCAGTCCCAAGTGCTCTTACTTCCAGCTGGGCCTGACTTTCTAGGGCTCCAGACCCTTCTCTATAGGACCCTAAGCTGCAGATGAAGTGCGGGAAACACAAACTCCCGTGGAGTCACCCAGGTTCAGACTCTAACCGTGTTGAAGGAGCTATGACAGAAAGAACTGCTGGAGGCCCTGTGAAGCTGGCGGGCATTGCTGAGTTCATTGGGAGTAATGGACAGAGGGGAGGGTCTGAGAAGAGTACAATGTCAAGAGATGCGTAGACTTTTTTTTTTTTTCTGGTGAACAAGAGAAGGGGAAGGCATCCCAGGCCCAGAAAACAGTATGCAATAACCTGGGAGAAGAACCAAGCAAATCATCCTCTGGAGGTTAGAACATCCTGGTTGCCTGGTGGGAGAAGGGCCTGGGTCAGAAGAGGGGCTGGAGGGTAAGCTCTCTGTGTATGCTTCTTGGCTTTGAGCTGAATCAACCTCTGCCGTGTCTTCCCAGGCACTATGGGGGTGGTCTACTCTGTAGCTCAGGCTCCATTTCCCATATTTTTGAGGTCTTGAGACTCAGGTACCTCCCATAAACTGCCACCCAAAGCATCAATGATACCTCTGGGGCTTTAGAAAGGAGACAAAGGACTAATTTTCAGTGTAGGAATAAAGAAAGCATTCCTAGAAGGGGCACTGATGGTGGGCTTGATTGGTAAGAAGACTTGGATGGAGGGTAGCAGCTGTGAGGCAATCCTTGGGCTGGCTCATTTGTAGTAGAGGTCTATGTAGATCTCTGTAGTCAGTTGCTTCCACATTTAAGGACTTCTGGGTTCCTCATAGAATACTACTAGACCCTTTGTGGGTTAGGATCAGAGTTTGTCACAAGCCAAGGGGCAGATATATTAGTGAAATCCCCAAGGCACAGTTAATGCATATGAGTTAATGCATTCCAGAACAATGGTGGCTAGCATCCTTTGGCATCAAAAGGATAAAAATATTCTGTAGATTCTTAGTGTGTCCTTGTTAACTCACTATAGTTTAAGACACGGCTCGCCCCCGC